AAAAAAAAAAAAAAAAAATGTTTCAGTTTGGTCTTCTCCCAAGAGGCTTTTGGGGGAACTGGGATATATGGATCTGTCAAACTATTGAAATATTCACCAGAAGTCCAAGGGAACAGCACTAATACATAAATACGACTTCAGCAACTGCCCAGGAATCAGGCTGTATGCTAATTTGAGTACATACTAATACCAACGATGATATAATACTGGCTGCAAGGCTGAGTTGATTTTTTTTAATTCTCAACCAGAAACCTTTGATTTAATTTATTTACTGTATTTTTGTTTTGTTTTACATCTGTAATTTTTGTTTTACATTTGTTGTTCTTGTTGTTGTACTCATTCTTAAGAGAGGCTAATTCTCATCAGTTGGAAAGCATTGAAAAACATTGACGTTAAGCTAAATATAAATATCACACTAAAGTTGGTACTACTTTGCTAATTGGGAGGTTAATATGTGCATGTGAGTGCATGCATACACACACTTACACAGATTATACATTCAGATTCTTAATTATGTATTTATGCCAGAGGGGGATAAGTGATGCATTTTTATTTATTATAATAGCATTCATATTTTAATTGTGACTTGTGTTAAGCTGCATGCAAATGAAAAATTAAACTTTAAATATGACAAAACATTTCAAAATCACTTTCACTGGTTAAATTACCTTTTTAAATGTGCTTCATGCATAAACTTATTTTTCTTATCAACACAGCTTTAACTACAAAGCAGTTCCTTTAAGCCAAGAAAACATTATCTGGATTTAATATGGTGAATGGTGCATGAACTTGGTTTTGGTTTTGTTTTGGTTTTGTGTGCTAATTACTCTGTTCTTCAAAATTTTAGGATTAGTATATCTCATATCTCTCCTTATGCATTAGGAGAAAAATGTTTTCCTGGGGTTCAGTTGCTGCCTTGGTTTTGAATAATTTAGCTCTCTCTTCAGCTCTTATACAAGTATTTTGGACATATCTTTTAAATAACACAATGTAAATAAACATTAGAGACAGTCGGTACTAGTTTTGTGACAGTTGCTTGTAGTGTTTCTCCATTGTTCTGTCGTCTTTCCTCATCGCTGATGTGGATTGTTGCCTTTTGTAATTTTTTTTTTTTTTCTCTACCCTAGCTTGTACTTTTTTATTTTATTAAAGGATGAGGAGGAAGGAAACCAAAAATTGTTGCAGATAGATGGACTACTTGTTTCACCTGGCATCTTCAATAACCTGTCATTGGCCAATGCTACAGAGAGGTTTGTTTGCTTGGGTTTTTTGCAAGAAAACAATAGCAATTGCCATACTAGACTATTACAGAATAATCTTATTCTTAGTTTCTTCCTACTTCTCAATGGGCCAATTTATAGTTTAATTTATGGGGGCTTATGCCACGTCCGTACTTATAAACACTATATTTGCTATACTTACAAACATCTTTGTCTTGTTTGACAGCGCACTGATGGTACTCTAAAAATATCTGATTAAAATTTCATTGGGAGTTACACATTTCCCCTTAAAACTAATAGATTTATGTATCATTTGTATTGGCATATATTGTGCCAAGGCAGCTTTGAAAAGATGCTCACAGGAAGGGTGGGAGAAGGAAAACAAAACAAGGAGTATGGTTGCTAAGCACTGAGCAAAGAAAATTCTGGCTACACATGCAAGGTAATTTTTGCCCAGTATCACTGTAAAAACTGCTATAGGTCCTAACTACTGTTGCTATAGAAAGCTAGTTGCATTGAACTGAATCTTAAAATAAACAGTAGACAAACAAAACAATGCATTAGGTTTGCAATGCATTCTGGTGTCCTTCAGTTTTGGGTTGCATTCTGTTTTTAGTATGGCTTCTCCATGCTTTGGGTCTCTACATTTCATTGGATGTACACAAAGCCTGCATTTTGCCTTGACAAAAGGGAAAAACTCCATAAAAATTCTTAAATATTACAGGTCAAATCATTAATTAAAAAAAGGAAATGGCATTATTAAAATCAGTCATGAAACTAGCAGCTTCTTAAATGTATTTCAGTTTCTGCTTTAATGCATTTTTTGTTGTTGGGGAAACGCTTCAAGTTTTATAACAACTTTGTTTTTTGGTTGTTTAAATTACCTGATATCAAGTGTTCTACTTTGTTTTCACTTAAATGGAAAGGATTTTAGTATGTTTCATTATAAAACATAATTCAATTCAATTTTAAGATTGCCCACTTTGGTTTTTATCTCTTCTCTGAAGGCCATTGGGAGATTATAAATGAGATTAGTGTCTTTGTGTGTTTTGAGCCACATCCTTTTTAATCATCCATTTCTATCTTAACCAGAAAGGTGTTTGTGGGATGTGGGTTTTTTGGAGGGGGCTTGGGTTTCGCTGCTGCTTTGGGAGTAGGGGGTGTGAGGTACTTTGTTTTGTTCAACCTTTAGTTCAGTTAATCCAATTTGATCGTGCCAAGTTTGAGAACTTCTCTTAAGCACATTAAAAAAACACCCTTTGGATGTCTTTACAACTAGGAAAAGGCTTTAGTTTCTTTGAACCCTTTAGTTCTGATTTGGAATGGGAAGTGGCCCTATTTTTGGACGTAACATGCCCTCTTCTTATACACTGTATTGTACAGTGGACTCCTGAGCCAACTGTGAAACTTGACTTCTGCTCCAGTTTATAAATTATTTAGACATCGACAAAACACCAATGCCTCTTTCTGTTTCTGTTTCTTTTTACAAGTATTAAGGTAGCATCTAGATGCCCCAGAGTTTACTGGAGTCTCCTTGACCTACAAAAGTTCAGGGCCCCACTCAAACTCATGGCCCCTTCCCTCACAACAGACTTAGAAGCTGGACCCTGTTGCTCTCCACACTGCTGGGCTGCACTCCTGGCCACGCTGAGGCTGCTCTTCTGGGGGAAACTATTTTACTAGAACTTTAAAATTTTGTTTGGCGTGGGGGTGAAGGAACTAGTGAGGAAAGATAGTTAGAGCCCTGATGCAAAAGATATTCACCTATTGGGTTGGGGAAGCTAGAGCCTGCCTGCCCTGGCAAGTGGATGGGAGTGCTCTGGCAGCCACCAAGGGGGCTGCCAAACTGCCCCCCTCCCCAACCCTCTCCCTCCCATCTCTAGGACTATCAGTAGGGGAGGGAGAGGTAAAGGGAGGAAGCAACTGGCACAGAGATGCTGGCTGCTTTTGAAGGGTCAGAGTTGAATGGGGCAACTGGTGGAATGGCCCCCCCTCACCTCCTATCCCCCCCCC